TACACGGCAAAGATATATCACTGGTGCGAACATGGTAATCATGACATGTGTGTCATGTAATGAGAATGACTACATGGCACGCTGATCATTTGCTCGCGGCAGTTTCACTATCTTCAAATATGCCGAATTTTTTATTACGTGACGTGAATTAATTACGAATATAAGGGACACATCCAAGCACAGTACTTATGATATGCTTATTATGTAAAACATGGCTGCATGCTATCCTCATAACGCGCTCGCAGCCGTTTCGCTTGCTTCACATATACCAATTTTGACATTTCGTTACGTGAATACACGGCGAAGGTATATGACTGGTGCAAACATGATAATTATGATATGCGTATCATGTAAGATCATGACTACATGGCAGGCTCATCATTCGCTCACCGCCGTTTCACTATCTTCCCATATACTAAATTTGGTATTACGTGACGTGAATGAATGATGAATGTAACGGACACGTCTGAGTAGGATTATTATGATATCCTTGTCATGTAAAAGATGGCTACATGTTATCCACATAGCGTGCTCACGGCCGTTTCGGCTTCGTTTCACATATACCAAACTTGGTATTACGTGACGTGAATGGACGACGAAGACAAATGCAGGCGCAAACATGAAAACCACAACATGTGTGTCATGTACAGTATAATTTACAAGCCTACCGCAGCTGCTGCTGGTATTTCAAACGTTATTGGTGCCTTTGTTCCGTGACTATAAACAACAAGCAAGCATCCTATCTTGGTAGTGCATGCACATGATATTACTAATTGTGTTTGCTTTATAATACGTCCATCCGCCTCATGACGTTGTGCTGATTTTAAAGCGACATATCAACATTCTCCATTTGTGCTTCGCAATCATCGCTTCCCACTGTGCATGAGATCTGCCATTTTGTTTTTCATTTCACTTCATCTGGTCTAAACCACCAAAAACTTATTCATGCTCAACGCAAGACAACCCCGCAATGTTTTACCAACTTCGAGATTGTGTGAGATTCTTCTGCAAAGCACACGCACAAATGCTGCGGTGGCTACCGCATTTCGACGGAAGAAATGCTAGAGGCGCATGTACTTAGATTTGATACCTCGTTAAAGCACACCACATGGTAAACATTTCCTTGGCTCTCAACTTCTGCGTCTCTCATATTCTTATCATGGCTTTAAGTCGTTAAAACTGCACAATTATCATTAAGACTACGCGTAGTAGGCACGTACTCTTGTTAACTTGTGGCCTTAGCGAGTACCAGGCATAACAATGGAAGATTCTTTCACTAATGTATAAAACAACACGTGCTCTGCCGATGATCAATTAACAAACACAGATGGCATTTCTTATAGCTATCAAAGATTCCTGCTGTTTGCACATACTTTGAGTTACTTAGTATTCTGAATGCAATTTGTATAACTATTAAGTTTCATTTTTACTCCGGTGATTTGCGGTTTCCTCAAAGTTATTACCATGTGACAACAAAATATGTCTGTCTCATTCTTGCGGTGCACATGTTCTCTTACTGAAGAAAAGTTGACTGAACTTCAGATAGCGTAGAGATAGCGAACGGCTTACATCAGCAGAAAAAAAAGAATTTGAAAAGTAATCGCTGCTTTGCGTGCCCTACAAAGGGATATGTACACAATACACCACAAAAATATCTCTCCGGCGTTGCTGGTGCTGCACACCGGTGATTCGGTAGTGCAAAACAGTCCTTTACGGGCGAGGTAAAACAACATGATTGTATTTTCGCCATTGTCGGAAGGCGCGCTATTCAAGCTCATCAAGTTAGATGACAACCCCCTAGCTGGTCGTCAAGCTCAGTTGCGATCGACTCCCATCAAATGAAAAACAAGAATAGGTGTGAGTTAAGTATTTAAAGAACTGTCCTGTTAAGTAGCTAAAAAGCACAATAAAGTCTGGGGACGTTCACTAAATTCTTTAGACCAAGAAGGACAAAACTTTTGAGATGGAAACAAATATCTTTTTGAAACGGAAATGGGCTCAATAAAAAACTTTTAACATGTTTTGGTGCATAGGTGTTCACTACTACATTGTAGGGTTCTATACCAACAAATTTGCGAATGCATCAGAGTATCTTAAGATACAATTGGCAAATGGCGTATCAAATACAACGCTTTTTTACCTGAGTATCTTGTAATGTATAGCAGTGCAGTGTCGCAGTATCTTTGCCCAGTCCTGTCTGTACTCAACACAAAATCCTACCGATCTGCCTATTCTTCAAACCTACGCCACACATTATGAGCAAAAGTGCAACAAAGCCTAGATGATGTCGCGTTTTAGCATGCTTGCACCGTTGTTCTTGATTATTTTCTCTTTTGACGAATCCATAGAGGCTACGCTCAACGTGGGATGCTCCGCTATGCGTGCCAATATTGTGACCCAGTGGTGTCAAACTCTTCCCGGTCCAAGCCCTCCTACCTCGTCTTTCGTTTCGCGGATGGCGTCGGGAAACCATACAGTTGCACGTTATATTTGTCTTGTGGCATGCCCTGAAGATAAAAAAGGTCCGTTTCGTAGCAATGTTGAAGCAATGAACGCAATAGCAACATAAAAGGATGGCATGCGAAGAACGACAAGCAGATCGAAACTTCTCGAGAGAACACACACAGGACGAGCTCGTACTAAGAATGTTCGCAGTTCGACACTTAACGCTCATCAAAACGACAAAGGACGCACAATCGTTCTGTATTGGGTCAGATTCTTTAACCGCTAAGTGACATTTTTCGGGCTTCACTGTAATACAGGCCGAGCGTACAGCGTACACTAAGCAGGTCTGCCACCGCAATCTTTAAAGTACAGTGTCCATTATAAGATGAAACGTAGCTGGCATCGAGCACAAACCGAAGGGAAGCACCTGAAAATTTATGAAGTCCATCGGCGTAACAAGCATTGTGTCTCACAGTCTCTATGCTCCACTTTAAATTCACAGTGCAGTCTAGAGCGTCTCTCATATTTTATGATGGTTTTTGAACTTTAAACCCACCGATCAATCAATCACTTTCACATTATCCACTTTTTAGGTAACTGAAGATAAGTAGTGGAATTTTTTTAGCCTATCCGGGGAATCATCAAAACACAACAATGGATAAGCATCCTCGTTTGTGATCGGACTCAGCTACCGGTTGGCGCAAAAACGCATAAAATGAATGCTCGCAAGCTGCCGGCCTTTTTTTTGACGAGTGCAGGTGACGCGTGACAGTTGGACAGCCAAATAACACCAACCTCCAGCATAATTTTCAATTGTTTACAGTCACCTCATGTTCTCTTAGAGCAATGCGGTAAATATTTGGCTGGCAGGGTCTCGTGCCGGAATCTGTGATGTTGCTGTTTTTCGTGAGTGGTGTTCGATTAACTCTGCAGAGTGAAATAGAAACAGCGGTTTCTTGTTGATCAGCTCTTGATCTTGATCAGTGAAGACTAAGAAAAAACTTGTTGATCAGCTGAAGAAGGCGATTTTGCTCGATGGTTTATAATGCCGGATTAACGTCAACAGGTGTTGGTGTTGCGATATCGGACGCTGCCACCCTCTACAATACAAGGCAATCAACTATTCGCTCATGTTTTCCAAAAGAGCTTATCGCTGTGTCTCCAGCACAGTGTTAGTATTCCTCGGGGAAATTAATTCACTAGGGTTAGGCGCATCTGTCAGTCACATTGATGACACTCCTTGTGCTCAAAATGCCGCAAGTCAATGCTAGCGTACCGATGGTTTAACGGTGCTAGTCCCGCTAAGTGATATTCGCTTTCTGAACACATAAGAGCCAGCGTCCCTAGACGTCCTGGCTCGAAGCTCGCGCGTTTTCAATAGACCCTTTTCATAAATATGCCATCTGACGGTGAGCTTTTTGTCAGTTTCGCTTCGCAAAGGAGCATGGGATAGCTAGCACCTTCATGAGGGAATGGAAAGCGAGCCGTTAAATGCGTGAGTGCTGTGATGTTTGTGTTAGGGGCTAGTTTTCCGTAACATCCGCTGCAATCGCTCTGCCTGCAGACTTGAACGAGCTACCAGTACTCTCTGATAAGCTTTCTGGGCTGCTTCCGCTGCACGATGACCCATGTTTTGTACCCTTCAACGGGTTGGACGAGCAGTCTGGCTCGACTGCCGCGGCTGAGGGACCGTCACCACAGGCAACTAGCATGCACGCCCGGAACGGGAAAAAAATGCTCGTTGAAGCTAAAAACTTGTCACGAAAAGCTATGTCATTAATCGACTCTACGTGCGTGTTACGTGCAAGAAAAGTAATAGCTACACTTCGCATCATCGCTCACAATTCGCTACTGGCCGTGTCTGTGCCGACGTCTGCGTTCGCTCCATTTACGGATACATTTTTTTCCGAGTGAATTTTCAAAATTGTACTCCTACACTGCTTCTTATGCTAACATGAACGGTATTGAAAGTCAAATGAGAAGGTGTAAGGGGGACGCAGCCGCTTGGATACTTTAGAACCAAAAGCAAAGGTCGCTCCCATGTATCTCTGTGCGAAACGAACAAATTGTCGCGCGACAACTTTCGATCGCGATCAAAGCCAATCTATTCCCGAATTTTCCATTTTTTTATCTCCTGCAGCTAGCTCTAAGGATTCATTGTAACCTAGATTATTTTTGTGGATGAGGCGTGGTTGCGATTTAAATGGACCATACAACAACCGCAGAAGTGAAACGGGGGAGGAGGAAGAAATGGCGTGTGCTCGCCACAAAAGAGTACCACCTACATATACTACTGTGAAGACAGGATTAGTTTGGACCCTGTGGTTATCTTACTTCGGCGAATGCCTATGGTGTCTTAACCTAAATGTATGCACTCAAGTGAAATGTACTTGCCTCCGTAGAGGTTTGCGTTCGATTACGCTGCTGTCCAGCCATCACAAAAATTTTTTACCTAGGGATTTAGGCTGCCTGAACATGCATTTATACATTAAGGGGTGCCTTGTAGTATGTTCTCAGGATTTTATGCAAGATTCTGATTTCTTTACTCTATGCAGGAACGACAGCTACTTGATACAAGCACGCTGCTACCGCAGCAAAAAGAAAACACAGCCCCCCTATATTGTTTGTGCCACCATCAGTGGCGATGGTAGTGTGCTCGATGGAAAATGCGAGTGCCCTGCTGGGAAGCAATTTTGCAGCCATGTTGCGGCAGTGCTTGAAGTACTTTGACTGCTGCAAGAGAAAAGATTTCGTCAGGTTCCCGCTCACTTGTCGTGCACTGATCTACCTCAGTACTGGAGACGGCCACGGGGTTACACTGTAAAAGGAAGCAGCCTTCAGAATGTGGACTGGCGAAGATAAGTGAGGGTGCCCGTGATTTGCCATTGCTGAGCCGCCTTGATGTCAGTGCAGTTAAGGAGAGGAACGTAGAAGACTGGAGGAAACATCTCGCCCAGTTTGCCCAAGGCCTTTCAGACGCAAACGCATATTGTGCCCTAGTAAGCATACTAGCTCCTGCAGATTGTGCCCCAGTGTGCGCCTCCAGATGTGGCACCATATTTTGTGGCTCGCCACTAGCTTACCAGCAGCCACTCGTGCCTCATGGATTCAATGTCCTGCTCTGTAGCTATCTGGGGGAGAAGGTGAACAAGCATCTTAAGACTTCTACACTGTGCCTGCCAAAACTCATGGAGCCATTCACTGGAAGCAGCCAATGGTCATACCAGGTGGCATCAGTGGCGGTGAAAGACACAACTTGGAGGTATGTCGCCACATATAACTGTGCAAGCAGCACAAAAAACTGCAGATGCTACCAGAGGATTTGTGGGCTCTCCTAATGTAATATTTAGTACACTGTCAGTCTTGGTGCATAACTTATTCTCTTGGTAGGTATGCAAAGCGCCGACAGCACCTCTTTTATATAGCGCAAAAGAGACCTTACCAATCAAAGTGAGTAATCAGAGAATCGTAACGTCATAAATACTGTTAAACATTTAGAGCGGAAATTTTTTAGTCTGCAGCCACTGAGAAGCCTGGCGAATACAGTCGAAACAGGCTGTACACAAAGGACGTAAGAGCGGCTCATGCATGGCAGTCTGCCGCTATATGCGAGCTACAGCTTACATGTTCCACTAATTTCCATCGAAGCAGGATACATGAATATGTCACTTATTCACATGTTTTGGCCAGCTGTCTGTACGCATAATAGCATAGCATATATAAATAAGGAAAGTTAAGTGACAGCCTTAAAGTGTTTCTAAATTTATATGAACGGAAGTGGCTCTGTGTACCAGGTGGGTGAAAACATAGGAAATTGTGTGTTATTAGGTGAGAATGTTGTCTAATAAGCACGAAGCTTAGGCGTAAGAAAGCAGTGTAATGGTCTGCGTTATTGAGTGGAAGTGGAATGAGTGGCATAAAAAGATTCATTAACGTAATTTTGCTGCCTGCTGTTTGTTGTGCTTCTTTATAAACAATTTACTTTGACTGTGACAGCATTGAGTCTTTTCATGACTGCCTCAAATTATGTATGATTTTGTGATTCATAATGCTTTTGAGTTGCCCTACTCTTAAATAAATTTGTGAATGTATTGTTTCTAAAAATTGTGCTTAGTACTCTGCAAGCCCAGTGTCTAGAGAAGAACTCCAGAAGCAGGAGCTAGTCAACTTGGTGTCGAGAGTGAAATTATCGGCTGACATCCTCAAACTCAGTCATTGGAACAATAAAGGGCTCGGCCACCTGACATCAACGAAAGACCTATGCACGGTACCTGCTGTCCAGTCAGTCATTCTTTGATAATAAGATGCTTGCATTGGCTGATCAGTTGTGAATCACAATAGTGCTAGAAGTTCTGCTGATGAAAATAGTCAAGTGACCCATCCACTGAGCATTTTCAAGTATGTGTGCTCCTGCACAAGTGATCCACTATATTAAGTTCCCGTGCACTTCTTTTTGTTGAGTAATTAAGAGTACCCGAGAAGCTCGTATATACGGTAGGCTGGTCACCCACGGAAAACAAGAAATACTTTTTTCCAAGTGTGAAGCTTTCAGAACCTTTTTTTAGATGTGTGTTTCACTCTAATGGGCACTTTTTCATCTCAATATCGAATGCTAATAAAATAATTAACTTTAGTATATTTTAAAATGAAGCATCTTTTCTTTCCTTAATGGGCGTAAGGGTGAAACCAGTTAGCTGCTTTATTTCGAGAGAAGTTACCGGCAAAGCTAGGTATAGAACTGGTGAATACCCTACACATTGTGGTGCGTGTGCTGTAAAACAGCAAATCTGTCATCGCGGCCATATTGGCTGAAGTTTTGAAAAGGTTAATAATGATTGAAGTCAGTGTGCTCATGTTTAGGGGCAAATTAACGAAAACCCAGGTGAACGAAACTTTCGGAGCTCTCCCCATGGTGTATGCCATTCTCAGATCATTGTTTTGGGAGATTGAACCCTAAAAAGTATTATTGTGTTATAAAAACGTTGACGTAGAATGATTCAATGTGAGTGCGGCCTAATTCAAGAGTAGCGCAAACTAAGCAAATGCCGTACAATGCCCATTTGATCTAGAGAGAGTGCCAATATAAGCATGATTCAAACGCTCGGCAGTTTCATATAACACAATGTGTGTTCTGCACTGGTATTGCGTCCTCATAAAGCCGTATTTTGTGCTATGGCACTTTGATAATTTGTATGGTCAAAGGTATGGTCTATCAACGTATGGTCTAGCTGCCTACATCTGGGCACTCTCGTGGTAGTGTGTGTAACATGCATGAACAGAAATTTATTATAAAATAACATGAGTATATGATCAACATGATTAACAGGTCACGTCATAAAGTGAGATGTTTGTCACGCACATCACGATACCCATTCCCTCAATTGTTCCACACACCATTTACCATTGCTCATGGAATTGTGGGTATGTGTCACATCTGATTCAGTGTATATGAACACAAGAATGGTGAGAATTGACATCGTAAATATTAACGAGATACTTGCATAGTTCAACGCCCCGCCTCGGTGGTCTAGTGGCTAAGGTACTCGGCTGCTGACCCGCAGGTCGCGGGATCGAATCCCGGCTGTGGCGGCTGCATTTCCGATGGAGGGGGAAATGTTATAAGCCCATGTAGCCCATGTAGATTTGGGTGCACGTTAAAGAACCCCAGGTGGTGGAAATTACCGGAGCCCTCCTATATGGCATCTCTCATAATTATATGGTGGTTTTGGTACGGTAAACACAACAAATCAATCAATCAATTGCATAGTTCAATGCGTGTCAGAAAATCATGTGCAAGCAATTGTGGCAACGGCAGTGATCAAAAAAACTTTATGGACTCGGGAAACAGAAATCAAAGTTGAGCCAGAGTCACAACTAGCCATCTTGCACAGCAGTCAAGCACACTATCAGAAATAAACCCTATGCTGTCATCATGTCTGGGCAGTATACTTACAGCAATATAGTAAGCAGTGCTTCGCTTTTATTTATTTATGAATAAGCGAACAGTGGTATTCTAAACTGATTCAAATTGCTTCTAAAGTACTCAGTGGTATTGTATAGCCGTGGTATGAATATGCTACAGTGTTACTGTCATAGTGTTCTCAGCAGTACGATTCTGATAGTACATTGCACGTAAGCATAAGTAGAGAATTTAGAACCAACTTTTAGTACCTTTCTATGCACGAAATTTCTGAGAAAGTGTGATTGTAATGCAGCTTATTCTGTATAGCTTCCTGAACTACGCAATGTGCTCGTTACATATACTGCCATGCATTATGACCATTATGTCAGCAAAAAGATTTTCATGCTGTGTGCACTTGCATGTTAAATCTTGCACAGTTACCTTATTGAATTACTAGAAACTATCAGTTAGTCACTATTCGATTATCAAGCTGCATCATTAGGACAATTCTTCTTCAGTAACGTTGAATAATGCAATAGGTCTATGAATGTATTAATAGAATTTTTCTCTAAATTATGCTGCTTGTATTCTTTTGTCTTCAAAATCCAGGTATTGCATTGCCAACGAGACAAGAGTTCTCCAGCATTACCAGGGCGTACACAGGCACATAGGACGGGTCATAGAGCTTCAAAGCGTAAGGCTGTTTGTTGACCAAGAACAGCCATGGCTTGGGTCTTCTCCAGATGTCATTGTGTATGATCCTGTGGAATACCCACCGTGGGGTTTTGTTGCAGTGAATGGTCCTTATAGCTTGAAAGATGCAGACTAAGAGGAGCTTCTTTCATGCCAAGACATTTGTATGTCATTTGACAGCTTAAACCACTCCGCACTGAAGCAAACGCACTCATACTTCGCTCAAGTGAGAGGCCACATGGCCATCACTAAACTACAGTGGGCATATTTTGTTATGTACGGTGAAAACTACATTTGTGTGCAAAGGGTACGGTTTGACAAGAAAGTTTGGCATGAAATGAAAGCCAAGCTGGATAGGTTTTATTGTGATACACTTTTGCCATACTTTTTGAGAAATGTGCGTATGAGCAAATGTGTTGTGGCGAGTTTTTTTAAAAGGCCCCTGACAGCAAAATTTTCGGTTGTGGTTTTTCTGTAATTTGTAGCGTTGAGTCTGATGATGCACACATCAAGTTTTAAATACCCTAACATATTGCTAATTATTGCCAGTGTTCGTAATTGTGACCATTTTAGCACCATTTTGTAACACTCGCTTAACACTGTAAGAAACTAGTACCCTGCAGCAGAGAAGGACCTAAGAGCACGTGCGTTTAAACTTGGTGACGTTTACAGAACAGCTTTCACATCAGGGCACTGGGTGCAGTATAGAATGGATTGTGTGCTTTCAGTAAGAGATAACCCTGCTTGAATAAAAAATTTCTGGCGTAAGCAGCTACAACCACCTAGAGGGCAGCCCGACAATAGTGGAAGAGGGGCAGAACAATAGCCCTAGGTGGTTGGCAGTCATGGTATTGTGTGCACTTATCTTCTGCTACGCCTACAACACTATTTTTTCGTGTGAAACGCCCAAGGGGCTTCTATCAAAGTCATACCAATGGTGATGTCACGAGTTACAGAAAACTGAGGTGAGCTGTCACGCTTATACTGCTCACCCCTGTCACACGGCACGTGAAAAATCATT